TCATTGACATAAAGGGCTACTTTTTAATCCATATACAAAGGAGATTGGTCTTTTTCCAAGTGGCTAACTAAGAAGATTTAGTATTTATTAATTGTTGCTATTCCAAGCATTCTAAGAAATCCTTGATTTGAATTGTCAAACAATGATGATGCCAATGATGATGGCAACAATGATGTAACTTACTGATACTGATATAGATGCCCAGAACGTTGAGTATGTAGATGGTGAGGATGAGGATGAAGGTGAAGGCGATAAAATATCCAAGAGAATTTTTGATTTTCCACTGTGAACAACACATGCTTCATATGCCTGTTTTTACAGGCACATCTATGGCCACTACCCAAGACCATAGGAGGTTGTTCTTGGGATAGGGGATCATGGAAACATTACTCTACTTCTCTATCACCTCCTCAATTGGAAGGCAAAAATAATGATCACCATAAAAACACATTGGCAATTACAGGTACAGTGTCCTTGGAAAATTCAACTGTTGGCCCATCAGTTAACAAATATTTACTAGTATCTATTCTGTGCAAGGTCTCAGGTGAGGCATTAGGGTCAGGGTTGGGGACAATGAACACAGATAACTAATATTTGTTCCCTGTTCACATAGAGCTTACATTCTAGCAACACAGAGAAGATAACAAGAGAAGATAAATAATCACACAAGGTAACAAAATGTAAGAAATATACCAGGATAGTAAGTAAATAGTAGTCAAATGAGAGTTGCAAATGATGAGAGATGGGAATTCACAGGTGGGAGAGATCAATAAGTTCTGGAGTGACACATGGAACAGGTCGGATTTCAGCTAAGTGTGTGGATAGTATGAATTCTTTCTTTTACTGCTCATCATTCTCCTTTCTCACCTTGGGATAAAGCTGGAGAATTGCCCTCTGTGCTAGGTAATCTTTCTGGCAACTTATATATCTTCTTGGGACCTTCTTACAAATATGAAACAGCTTAATATATAAAGTACTGAACAACAGCCTCTTTGCTAAAACTTTCTTTTAGAAACTACTAAGATAGAGAAAAGAGCCCTACAATTAGGACTGAGTATGAAAGGTACTTTGTACAGTTTGCATGAGATATTATCAATTAGAAAGAAACATCTTTGTTTATACAAAGCCTTCCCTTGATGGATGAGTGGTCAGACAATATGGACAAACAATTCTCCAAAGAAAAATCGCAAGCTATTAACAACCATATGAAAGAATACTCCAAATAACTAATAATACGGGAAATATAAATCAACACAATGCTTATGTTTCATCTCACACCCAGCGAATTGAAAAGAGTGAGAAAAGATGGGATTACTCAATGTGGGAGGAATATGGAAAGAAAGGTCCACTAATACACTGTTGGTGCCTCTACGAATTGGTACAACCATTCTGGATGGCAATTTGGAATGAATGCCAATTAAATGACTAAAATGTCCAAGTCATTTGACCCAGAAATACCAATACTAGGTATATACTCCAAGGATGACATTGATGAAAAGAAAGACCTCAAATATTTACAACAATATTTTTCATGGCAGCAAAGGGCTAGAAACAAAGTAAATGCCCATCAATTGTGAACTGACTAAAATTGTGGTACAAGAACATCATGAAATACTATTGTGTTCTAAGAAATAACAAACAAGGTGAACACAGAACAGCCTGAAAAGACTCAACAATAATAGCTAGCATTAATATAGCACTTTTAGATTTGCAAAATGCTTTACAAATACTCTCATTTTATCCTCACAACAACTCTGAGATATAGAGGATATTATTATTTCCACCTTACTACTGAGGAAACTGAGACAAGCCTCATGTAGCTAGTAAGTGTCTGAGGTGAAATTTGAACCCAGGTCTTCCTGACTCCAGTGCTTTATCCACTGTACCACCCAGATGACTCTTTGTTGGTGCCGAAGCATTTTGGTCTTATCTGACTCTCCATGACCCCATTTGGGGTTTTCTTAGCAAAGATACTGGAGTGGTTTGCCATTTCTTTCTTCAGTTCATTTTACCAATGAGGAAACTGAGGCAAACAGGGTGAAGTGATTTTCCTAGGATCACATAGCTATTAAGTATCTGAGGCTAGATGTGAACTTTGGTCCTCCTGACTCTAGGGCCAGGGCTTTATCCACTGCTCCACCTAGCTGCAGATCCAGGAAGACAATATACACAACAACTAAAAGGAAGGATGAAAATAAGCATTTATTAAATGCCTACTATATGCCAGGTACTCTGTTAAGTACTTGAAAAATATTATCTCATTCAATTGCCACGACAACCCTGGGAGGTAGGTGCTGTTGAGGAAACGAGGCAAATAGTGGTTAAGTGTCTTGCTCAGGGTCACACAGTTAGTAAATGTCTTAGGCTGGATTGCAACTCAGGACTTCCTGACTCCAGGCATAGCATTCTATGCACCTGGATACCTCTCTACTGCAACAATGTAAATAAAAAGAACGACCACAAAGTCAACCATCGAAACTGAATGTTGCAAAATTATAAAGAATAAGTTTAGCTCGCCGCCCCCCCCCAAAAAAAACATTGATGAGAAGAATCCCTCCCTCCTTTGCAGAAGTTGGGACAAGGAACATTACATATAATTTCAGATTTTTAAATATATTGATCAGCTATGATGAATATTTTTCTCTCTTTTTTTTTTAAAAATTCTTCATTTTTAGGGATGGTTCTCTGGAAGGAAGAGGGCAATATTTGGGGGGAAATCTAGGTGACACAAAAATAAAAATGTAAAAATAAAATATTTAATTAAAATTGATATCTGTATCTATATACATAGAGGCATGCATATATGTGTGTACATAGAATTAGTTTTGTTTTGTGTTGGGGGTTTGTTGGTGGTTAGAGGGAAAAGTCTTGTGATTTTCTCGGTGTTTGGAACTCTAGGGTTGAAGTGTATTTCATAGAAGCTGATTGGCTACTTGACTGTGATGTATATCCTAAGAGAGCTCTCTGGGCACTGAGCATTGTCATTCACCTGCTGTGCCACTCTATCTAAGGACCATGGGGTCTTTCTAGCTGACTGGGAGCTGAAATCTTCCACATGTATTACCTCTGGCATTAGAATCCTTGAGAATAGAGACAGTCTTACTTTTATCTTTGTATTCCCAGAACTTAGTACAGTGCTTATACACAGTAAATATTTAATAAATGTTTTATTCATTTATTAATAAATCTAGAATTATTGATTGATGGATAGATCAAAGATAGAAGTTGAGCTCAAGATACCTGAGAGATTCTTTAGCTCACTGTTCTCATTTTGTAGATGAAGAAACAGTGACCTAGAGGAGTTAAATGACTTGCTTAGTGACAGAGTCAGGATCTGAACTCTGGTCCTGAGACTTTTTTTTTGGCAATCTTTCTACTGCCCCACCCTGCCTCCATTATCCCACATTAGAAGTATGAAAGCAGTTACTATTGCCCAGATCTCATTACTTGGTAACATCATCTGCTCCTATCATTTCAATTAACATCTCTTTGCATGTAATTTCCAGATCTCTCTATCCAGCCCTAGTATATCTCTTAGAGAAGGAAATGGCAAACCACTACTCCATCATTTTTGCCAAGAAAACCCCAAATGGGGTCAGGAAGAGGAGGACCCGACTGAAATGATTGAACAACAACAAATAACAACAGTATCTCTCCTGACCTCCAGCCCATATCATTAACTGTTTATTAGACACTTCAAAATTGAATAGAAATCTCAAACTCAACATATGTCCAAAGTAGAACTCTTTCCTCAAAATAACACCCATCTTCAGAACTTCTATCTATCTGTTGAGGGCACCAATTAATCAGTCAATCAGCAAGCATGTATTAAATGATAACTGTACACCAGGCCCTGTGCTAAGCAATAGGGATACAAAGACACCACCATCCTTCTAGTCTTTCAGGTTTGTATCTCTGAGTTATCCTTGACTTCTCACTCTCTCTCAACTCACACATCCATTTGATCCCTGAGTATTTTGTCATTTCTATCTCTACAGCATCATTAGCATCTGTCCCTTTTCTTCTGCTCACATAGCCACCATCCTAGTTATGACCTTCATCACCTATCACCTGGGATATAGTAATAGCCTTCTAATTGATTTTTTGGCTCATCCCTTCCCTCTAATCCATCTTCCACCCAGTCAACAGTGAATTTTCTAAAACGTAGCTCTGATCACTAATTCCCCTACACTTTAAAGTCTAGCACCTGCCTATTGCCTCCAGGATAAAATGTAAACTCTGCATTGACTTTTCAAGCCTTTCAGAAGATACTCCTAACCTCCCCTTTGAGGTTTATTATGTGGATCACTACCATTTGTGCACCCTTTGGTCCAGCCAAATAGGCCTGCCTGTATTACCTCACATCTGACCCTCCGTGTCCTGTCCCCATAGCTTTGGATGTGCTGTCTCGCATGCCTGAAATGCACTCCCTCCTCATCTTCCCCTCTCAGGATCCAGTGTTCTATCCAAGAATCAGCCCAACCATCACCTTCTACATGAAGCTTTTCCTGATTTCTCTGGCTCCTGTTGCCCATCCTCCCCAATTACCTGCTTTATTCAACACATTCTATATTACTTACTTATGCACATGTTACTTCCCCCAGTAGGACTGACTTCCTTGAGGGCAGGGCATGTTTCCTTTTTGTTTTTGTATTCCTATTGCTGACACAGTTCCTAGAATGTAGCAGGTATAAGCAAATCCTTGCTGCTTAATTGATTGATTTGAAATCCTACCATGATGATCTCAGACACTTAGGGACTGTGATAACTCTATCAGGTGCAGAGAAGATTATATTGTCCTCTTCAGTGACATCTGATTCCTATGGCATATCAAACATGGGATCAATTCCTGCTCTTTTAGAAATAAGCGTTGCCAACTCTGACAGCCTACCCAGAGAGAAAAAAGAATGACTTTGTTTCTTAAACCAGAAAATTTGAGATTCTAGATACCTGACCAAAGAGCATGGTCCGGTATTGGAGGCAAAACAATCATCACTACATAAAGAAGACCATCTTTTATATTTTATTGTTGCAAATGGTCAATGACCAATTGGGTCAGATGTCAGGCAGAGACAAGGGATAAGGTGAATAATGACTTCTGGAGAGCAAGATGTACAATTGGAAAGGAAAGTCTGTCACAGTCTGAGGGAGGGTCATTGGCTTTTGGTTCTGTGTTGTGGATTGTTGGTGTAGAGAGAACCAGGTGATCAGCAGCAGTCCTCAGAGCTCCCACAGCAGCCCCCGGATTGCTGGCTGCGCCCACTGCCACTGTCACAGCAGTCAGACCTCTGGTGCCGGCGTCTGTGGGATCTCCTGTGATGGGAAAAGAGGCAGCAGCTGCCCCCGGAGCCAGAGCTGCAGCACCCCCCAGAGCTGGACCCACAGCATCCCCCAGAGCTGCAGCATCCTCCAGAGCTAGAGCCACAGCAAGAAGAGACTGGAGGAGGGCAGGGAGCCTGGGGAGGGCACTTGGGAGGGCATTTAGGGGGGCATTTGGGTGGGCATTTAGGGGTCTGACACTTGGGAGGACACTTAGGGGGGCACTTAGGGGCCTGGCACTGCTGCTGGCTTTGCTGGCAGGACATCTTGGTGGGAGTTCAGTAAATCTGAAAGATAATAAAGAAGTTCAATTAAATCTAAGCTAAATATTTGTTTCTATTAGGGATCAATGCTTAATATGATGGCAACTGGTATGTGCAGAAAGGAATGACCTGAAAAACTTTTTCCTCTCGTAAAATTTTTTTAGGTTAGAATATGCAACCTGGGAATGACCATCTGCAAAGAAGAGCCAGGATCATGGGACCCAAAGCACCCAGGCAATGAAGGCCTAGATTGATCCAGGCAGATGAAGATCCCATAATTTTTTCTCTTGCAAGGTTCAGCCCTTTACACGACTCTCAGAGCTCACTGTTCTCCCTCAGGTTACTGTCAAATGGTCACTACCTCCGAACCTGTATCTCTCCTCTTTTTAGACTTTTGCCCTCCTTTCCTTTCCTTTGTCCCAAGCCATTGACAATTTTAGTATTTATCAGTGATAGGATACATATTTGTGGAGACATGCAAAAAATTTTTTAAATGATAAAAAGTCAGAGAGGGCTAAACTTTTATCCGAAACAAGCTAGTTCAAAGCCATGTCCTCTCTAACATTATCATCCTCATTTTAATATAACAATTACTTAAAACCCAACAGTACAAAGTTTTCCATCTAAGTGGACCATTGACTGTTCCCCATCATGGAAGTCACTTTCCTTACCTAACTAGTCATGCATTAGCCATACTAATATAAGGGAGCTGCCACATATTTAGTTTCTTAACATCTGAACACTTCCTCCTCCAAGGACAATCTCAGAAGGTCCTTGGTTACATTTTCTGGGTGTTCCAATCAATGATTGGATTTGAGAATAGGCATGCCACCATACAGTGGGTCCTTGCATCCTTTGTAGGACCTGATCTTTTTGTAATAATGTGCCCAGGTAACACCATGTAATATTTGCATCAATAGTTACTTTTGATGCCCCTGGTTCACTTTACTACTGCTGCACCACCAATTCAAGAGTTCATACTATTATTTTTATTTTGACATGTGAATTGATTAGTATCTATCAATCCAGATTAGTACGTATTTCAAAATTTATAATATAAGACATTTACATAGGATGCTCACAAGTTTCGCCTTGCCCAGGGACACACAGCCAGTATGTGTGAAAGTCAGGGATTGAACTTACGTCTTCTGACCCAAACAACAATTCAGGGTTGCCTCTAGAATGTTAGTAACCATTGGCAATACCCAAAGTTTCCAAGAGAAAATTATTTCCTTATCGAACCTCATGCTATTTCAAACATAAAGTTAAGTTTAACATTTCATCAATATACATCAGCCATCTATGTATTTTGAAGAGGATAAATTTTATAGCATCTCTATTGATATGTAAATATGGGTGGGCACCCTCCCTGAAACTGACTGGCTACATCCTTAGATATCTCAGTCATTGGCAAAGTTTCCTGGAATTCAGTACGCATCTGCTCCCTCTCCTTTTAGATACTAGGCCCATTCCTTGTGGCTTTAGAGGAAAATCCAGATAGTTTTTAGTCTAGAACAAATACAAAAGACAATACAACTCTGTTCCTCATTGGCTTACTTCTCTACCTTCTTTACCCTTCCCTTTTATTCTTGGTCCCTCTCTCTTCTACTTTTATCCTTCTTCTTCCCTGCTTCCTCTTTCGTTCCTCCTTCTCTTTGGTGCTATCACTTCTCTTGAAACCCCCTGTCCAAAAGTCTTCCACCGGGATTTGAATCACTTACCCTGATCACAGACACTGCAGGATTTCTCCTGGTGGAGTCAGGTAATGTGAAGAGCCAGTGCCAGAGACAACTTTTATAGGGGCTCTCCAGGCTCTGCTGCCACCATGAGACAGAGCTCTAGTGGGAGGAGAAGGCTCTTGCACAACCCAAGGCATGAGCCAGGTAAGTCTCATACACCAGGGACTTCCCACATGATAGTCAATTCTTGACATTCCCCAGTCCATCCTCTCATGACTCCCACTCAGGTCACCATTATTCTGAGACTGCTTTTTCACAACCAAGCCATCTCTCTGCAGTACCTTCAGACAGGTAAAGTCTTGGCCCAGTTTGGAACACACTGTCCTACTTCACCATCAAAGTGCCTTAGTTACCTGTTATAGAGCAATGAAGCTGAGAGCTCATCATTTCCCTAGAATCTGTCTGTCTGTCTGTCTTTCTAGGCAGCCAGGTGGCTAGAGTGGTGGACTCAGAGTCAGGACGACCAGAGTTTGAATCTTCCCTCAGATACTTTCTAGCTGTGTGATCTTGGGCAAGTCACTTAAACTCAGCTGCAGTTTTTTCATCTATAAAATGATACTAATAGCAGCTACCTCCTAGGGTTTTTGTGAAGATCAAATGAAATAATAATTGTAAAGTACTTAGCATAGTGCCTGGCACATAGTAGGCCCTCTATAAATGTTAGTTATTATTATTTATTTTATTATTAAACAGTAGAACTGAAGCCAAACGGAGCCAAGGAACAGGGTCAATAATGGCTTCTGGAGAGCACAATGTTCAGAACAAATATCTCAGGAAGATGGCAAATTAATAAAAAAGGATGGCAGCTGCAGTCTGAGGTACGGTTGTTGGCCCTTTAGTTCTACCTTGTTGCTTCTTAGGAAAGAATCAGATCAATAGCATCATCATCATCATCATCATCTTCTTCATCATCATCATCAACAGCAGCAGCAGCAGTAGCAGCAGCAGCAGCAGCAGCGGCGGCAGCAGCAGCCCCCAGACTGCTAGCAATGCCTACTGCTACTTTCTGAGCTCTTGTACCAGCATCTGGGAGAATCTCCTGTGATGTTGGAAGGAGAGGCAGCATGCATTAGCCAACTCTAGACCATGAGCCAGGGCTATGGTCAGAGCCTCAGCATTTCCTATCATCCTCAGCTGGCACCATAGCATCCTCTAGAGGCAGAACCACAGCATAGACAGGCTGGAGGAAGACTCTGGGGACTGTGGAATACACTGGCGTGGATATTTGGATGGACATTTGTTTTGCGCCATTTGCTTCTACCGATTTCTTTCCATCCTCTAAGGTTTAAGATGTGTATTCGTAATCCTTTTTCTTATCCTTATTCCATGTGATGGCCCATAAAGCACTTGAAGATGATGATCATGTCTGAACTTCCCTAATTCCTTCCCTCTCTAGGCTAAACATCTTTAGTTGTTCCAACTAATCCTCAGAAATTCATAGTCTTTATCAACTTCACGTCCACTCTTTAGCTTAACAACGCTCTTCCTACATTTGGGTATTCAGAGCCAGATAAATACTTCAAAAGGATTTTGACTAGGTCAAGAGTATAGTGGGACCATCATCTCGTTATTTCTGGAAGCTGTTTTTTTTCATTGAACTTTAAGAGTGGATAAACTTTCTCAACTGCTACATCTCACAAATAATTTATGTTGAGCTTGCAATCAACTGAAACCCTCTAGATCCTTTAAAGATCAGCTACCACCTAGCCATGCTTCTTCTATCTCCTTTTTGGAAAGTTGACTTGAACCCAAGTGAAAGACTTTACATTTATCCCTATTAAATTTAACCTTAATTGATTAAATTTAATGTTCTTTTCTGCCAAGTTCTTTCTGACTCCTGACTCTCTTCCAATAAGTTAGCTGTACTTCTGAGCTTTATGTCATCTGCAAATTTGATAAGCATGCCATCTTCATCCAGTTCATTAATTTAAAACAGCAAAGGGTCAAAGAAGCTTTTCTGGGACACACCAGGGCACACATGAAACACCTTTCAAGTAAATACCAAGTCATTAATGACTCTTTTCCAGGAAGTCTTTTCAAACCTCTTAATTCTAGTGCCTTCCTTCTGAATTTGTTGTTGTCATTGTTTAATCATTTCAGTTGTGTTCAACTCCTCATGACCCCATTTGAAGTTTTCTTAGCAAAGATACTGGAGTGGTTTGCCATTTTCTTCTCCAATTCATTTGATGGATGGGGAAACTGAGGCAAATAGGGTTAAGTGACTTGCCCAGTGTCACATAGTAGTAAGTGTCTAAGGCTGGATTGGCACTCAGGTCTTCTTCACTCTAGGTCTGGCACTCTATCCACTCTGCCACCTAGCTGCCCCAGTGGTCCTTTATGCTTTCATCCTTTTCTTTTCCCCAATATAGCTAAAATAAGCAAACAACTTTTTATTCATTTGTTTATTCTTTCATCTTACTTGGCCAGATAAGGTTCCACAACTGAGTGATGATGCAACCCATAAGTACTGGACAATGGGGTCAACCATTTTTGAAAATTTGATGAAATATATGAACTCAACTTTACTCTGAACTCAAAGGACTAACTTTTCAACTAAAAACAAGTTTTCATAAACGAAGGAGTTTTGACTCTTTCTAAGAGGTTAACCTTAGGAGGATTCATATTTATTCACAGTCACTGCTCCAATCGCTTTTGAGAATCTTTGTTTGGAACTGTCAGGATAAAGATAATGTCCATGGTATTGACAATGATTTAACTAATGCTTATGTTGAAGGGGATAGAGATGCTGAGGCTTAGATGATGAAGATGATGGCAATCTAATACCGAGGAGGATGTCTGACTGACACATGACTCATATATCTTCTTTTTCTTCTTCAGGAACTTCTACTGACATCACCCAGGAGAAAACAAGATCTTTCTTGGGACCTATGGTCTTGGAAATGTCTGCCTATCTATCTGCTTTGTCACCTCCATTATAAGGAGTGAACAACAGCAGAACTCAATCCCAATCAATGTTGACTATTACAGATATGAGGTCATTACAGAGTTTAATTTTGTCACTTAGTCAATCAATAAACATTTGCTGAGTGTCCACATTCCCTGAAATTCCCAGGCTAGGCATTGTAGAGGTCAGGGGCAGGGAGAGAAAGATTAAAGTATAAAGATATTACTTGATCCCAGAAAACATGGAGCTTAGGCTTCCACAGGTAAAATGAGGTAGACACAGAAGAGAAGATAAATAACTATACAAGGCAATAAAACGAAGGATATCCCAAGATAGTAAATGAGTAATGGGCAATGAGGAGGATGCTAGGATGGCTCGTTGAGAGTAGGAAGATACAACTAAGAAGTGGAATGATTTGTGATGACTTCCTGGAGGAAGTGGGTCTTAGGTTATGTTTTTGTAACATGGAACATTTTTCTTCTCGGCTCTTCTCTTTCCCATTTTGGTATAATGGCTCAGATTTGACTGTTTTCTCTTGTGTAATGGGTGCCTTTTTTAGTTCTCCATCATTCCTGCTTGTATTCATTTCATTATTATAAGAAACCCCAATATGAGAGATGCAGTAAATGGTACCATGGGAGTATTGGACCTGAAGTCAGGAAGACCTGAGTTCAAATTCAGTCTCAGATACTTATTAGCTGTGTAAGTGACTGGCCCAGGGTCACACAGCTAGTAAATGTCAGAGGCCAGATCTGAACACACAAAGATGAGTTTTCTTGACTTCAGGCCTGGAGCTCTATCCACTATGGTGCCACCTAGCTGCGTAAACCCCCCCCCCCCAACTAATAGCTATTTGTTTAATGGCAGCTAAATGGGTCTTGAGTCAAGAAAACTCCTACCTCCATCATTTACTAGCTGTATGACTTTGAGCAAATTACTCAACCTTTGTCTACCTTAGTTTCCTCATCTGTAAAATGGGGATAATAATTGTACCTGCTTCACAGAGTTGTAGTGATTATCAAATGAGATAATATATGCAAAATTTGTTATAATATTAAAGTGTCATATAGATGCCAGCTATGATAATGATGATGTATGCTGAAAGAGGGGTACTTAATGGTCTGGACAAATACATAGATATGATGGTTTTGTAGATTCCAACTCAAGGCCATTGAACAATAAATACCAAGCATACCACAACCAATTCCAGAAGTCTCTGTTTTAGATAATCATTATTTTAAGATCTTCTTGATTTAGAATAAAAAAGTCATGCTATATCTCTCAATATAATTCCAGGAAATAGAAGTTTGGTTTCTAGGTTTTCTTTCCAGTATTATGGAATCCTGGCAAACTCAGCACCTGTTTAGTGAGCATGTGTTACTAAATGGTGGGGAGGGATCAGGTCACAGAAGCAGAGAATATTAGAGAGGGAAGAAACTTCAGAGGGCAACTCTTCTTATATACCTCATAAAGAGAACCCCTATAAAAGCATGCCTGACAGGTGGTCATCCAGACCCTGCTTGAAGACCTAGTAGGGAGAAAGAAAAGACACTGCCTCCTGACATAGCCCATTCCACTTATGAATAAATCTAATTACTACCATTTTTTTCTGGAATCAAGTTTAAATTTTCTTCTTTATAATGTTGACACTAAGGACCTCTTTCTTTTTTTCTGTGCCACACAAGGTGATTAATTTCTCAACTACATGGCAAGGCTTCAGTTACTTGGAAGCATCTATATAACCTTTCTCCCTGGTCCTCCCTTATATTGATCAAATATACCCATGTCATCAACCCATCCTCATAAGTCATGGCTTCAAGGTTCTTTACCATCTTGGTTTGCTTACCATGGATGTGTTTCAGCTAATTAAGGTCATTCCTTATTGGTGGCCCCAAAACTGAACCCAATATTCCAGATGTACTTTGATCAGGGTAGAGCACAATGGGCCCATCCCTTCTTTATTCCAGGGAAGTTTTATCTCTCAATGCTACCCATGACTGTGATAGCTCCTTTTAGCTTCCATTTTACACAGTTGACTCATCTTGAGATGATTCATCAGAAGAGATTCATCATATCCCAGACTCCAAAACTTTGCCTTCAAATCTCCCAATGCCCTGTGACTCCTCCGAGCCTAAATATTTTGAGAAGCAGCTCCGGCTAATTTGAATATCCTCACTCAGTTGTCTCCAGGGTGATTCATGAGAAGTTGAAGGATGATTAGAGAGAAGTTGAGAAATTACAACAAAGCCCAGGGGAGAGATTTCAGATCACAGGCCATACTTCTGATTTCAGGAGTCCTGTTATGTTTCATTTCTTTTCTTTTTTCTGTAAGATTTTTCTTCTCTGATCCATGTGTCTGCAAGGGAAGTTTGTGATAATACACTGATTGCTGTTAGATAGAGAGAACCCCCTATTTTCTGGTTGGGGTCAATGTACCAGAAAAAGAAAAATTCTCCATGTGTTATGTAGGACCAATGAGAGGTTCTGAAAACAGGGCTAAATTAGAGGAGGGGAGGAGGGCCTTGTCCAGGATGACATTAACCAGCCAACCAATCAATCAATAAGCATTTATTAAGTACCTACTATGTGCCAAGCTATTATCTGGGGATGCAAAAAGAGTCAAAAGACAGTCCCTGCCATTAAGTAGGGCAGCTTGGTGGCACAGTGGATAGAGCATAGGGCCAAGAGTCAGGAAGACCTGAGTTCAAAAACAGCCTCAAAGAGGTGCTAGCTGTGTGACCCTGGGTAAATCACTTAATCCTGTTTGCCTTAGTATCCTCATCTGTAAAATGAGCTGAAGAAGGAAATGGCAAGCTACTCCAGTATCTTTGCCAAGAAAACCCCAACTGGGGTCACCAAGAGCCAGACACAACTGAAACAATTGAATAGCAGCAAACCTTTAAGGAGAGGCATTACGATCTGATGGGAGAAATACCTTTCAAACAAATATATACAAAATAAACTATGCGCAGGATAAATAGAAAATAATTAAAAGAGAGAAGGCACTGGAATTAAGAGGGGTTTGGAAAGGCATCCTATAGAAGATGGGACTTTAGTTGGGACTTCAAGGAAGTTAGGTAGGTCAGTAGTGGGAGTGTAGGAAGAAGAGGCCACAGAAAATTTCTGGAGCTGAGAGATGAAGTGTCTTATTTGTGAAACAGCTAGGAGGTCAGTGTTACTTGGTCATGGGGAGCAGAGAGGAAGAAGACTGGAAAGGTAGGAGGGGCTACAAGCACTAATCCTCTTTATTTATTTATTTTTAGGCAATTGGGGTTAAGTGACTTGTCCAGGGTCACAAAGCTAGTAAGTGTCAAGTGTTTGGTCTGAGGCCGGATTCGAACTCAGGTCCTCCTGACTTCAGGGCTGGTGTTCTATCCACTGTGCCACCCAGCTGCCCCTAATCCTCTTTATTTTCAGCAGCCAATCAACATAATCCCACTATGATAGGAATGGGACCTGTGAACATTAATGATTAGATCTTATTGTATAAGAAATGAACAGTGAAAATGTCTCCTTCAACATCAGGAGGCTAGAGCACAGAGACAGAGCAGGATTTTGGGGCTGTCCTTGGGCTATGAGATTATCAATCACAGACTGCTGTGGACCCCCTGGGGCAGATATGAAGCACAGGGCCAGGTATTCCAGAGGGAGCACAATTCATCGAGTGCCCCTGTAATCTAGCAGAGACTGTGGAGCCTTCCAAGGTCTATAGCGAGATACCTGAAAGGGGGAGAGAGACATTCTAGGAGACTTAAAACTATTTACCCAATCTTAGACACAAGACTCCTTAAAAAGATAATATTCTTCCTAGATAAAGGAGGTACTGAAGTACTAGAGAGATTACTTGAGTGTGAGACTTCCTCTCTTTCTGTTAGTAATTCAATAGGATAAACACAGGGATAGACCACAAGGTACATGATCCAGTTTGAATGTACTCACCACGGAAAACTATAATTGCTTGCAGGAAGCATTTTCAGGTCTCCCAGAGAAGTGCAATATTGCTAGAAGTTGCCAAGGAAATATTGTGAAGTTGCAAAGCATGCAGCATGTCAGGGGCCCTGCTCCTGATGTTTTGTGTGCCTTAAAGGTCTGCTTGTGGCTATTGCTGGTGCTTAAGGATGTTGAAAGCCTCTTAGAGGTAGGGAGGATATGAAGGATATTCCCTCATGTCAAATTCTTTTTTCTCTGTCTATTTCTAAAATAATATCCCTGGCCCTAGTTATACATAAAGACAATCTTTAGCATTCATTTAAAAAAATTCTGAGTTCCAAATTTTCTCTCCCCACTTCCTCACCTCTCCCCGTCCCTGAGATGATAGGCAATTTGATACAGGTTAAGGCTCCAGAATCCTTCACTATCTGGACAAGCATTTGTAGAGAAAGGAGATGAAAGGTATAATGAATATGAAGTACTAGGTCAGGGGTGGGAAACCTGCGGCCTCCAGGCCACATGTGACCTTCTAGGTCATTGGGTGTGGCCTTTTGACTGAGTTCAATTTTACCGAACAAATCCTTTTATTCAGGGGGTTTGTTCTGTGAAGTTTGGGTTAGATCAAAGGGCCAAACTTGATGACCTAGAGGGCCACATGTGGCCTCAGGGCCACAGGTTCCCCACCCCTGGATGATGCTGACCCAAGGGATGGCAGTTTTTATTGTGGCATCTTTGGGTGCCTGAAAAGTACTACTCACACCTGCTGATCAGGTTAAACAGCTAAGGAGACAGAGGGAAAGAGGCCAAGCTAGAAACAAGGAAAGTCAATTGAGCAGGTCACTGATCCTCTGGTTAAATGAATGAATGAGTGAAGCATTCATTAAATGTTTACTATGTGCAGAGTATTGTAGCAAGTGCTGAGAATATGAATAGAAAAATAAGGCAGTCCTGGTTTTCCAGGAACTTTCTTTCTACTGGGGAGGGGGGCAAACAAGGTTAGTGCAGAGGAAAACGTATGGGAGAGTCTGAAGGCAGGCCAGGTGTTCTTCAGCCTTCCCATTCACAAGATGGCAATTTGGGCTTTAAAGCTGGCAAGTGATTGTCAAGACCCTGTTTATGGAGCTCAATTTTAGATGTAGGCAGACAACACCTTATTGCCCTATATTCCAGTAATTGAGTTGGATGCCAACCAGCCAGAGCTGCCCTGACCCAAGTTGAGTTCAAGTGTATGTCTTACAGTATGATTAAAAAATAAAAAAAAGCAATCAGTGGCTTAGTATGCTCTAGTTCACAGGTACCATTGCATCAGAGACAAGGGTAGCTTCTGTAGTGGGAGAGTATGTGATAGAGAACCCAAAGGGATTGAAAGCTATTCACAATTTTCCAAAAATAGAATAAAGCTGCTGAGCCAGGTTGCATTCACCTAGGCCCAGGATGAAAAAGGATGGTTGGAGGAAGGATCAGTTACAGGATGGGGATTTAGAAATTGTGAAACTAGCTAAGGAAAGAGCCTGATCACCAAAGAATTGATCCTAGGTCACCAGAAGCCAGTCTCCTCCTCCTCCTCCCACTACTAGTTAACATTTATATGGTGCTTACTATGTGCCAGGCATGATGCTAAGCACTTTACAGTTATCTCATTTGATTCTTGCAACAACCCTGGAGGAGTAGTTTAATCATTTCAGTCATGTCTGATTCTCTGTGACCGCATCTGGGATGTTCTTGGCAAAGATACTGGAGTGGTTTGCCATTTCCTTCTCCAGCTCATTTGACAGATGAGGAAACTGAGGCAAACAGGCTGAAGGGACTTGCCTAGGGTCACATAGCTGGTAAGGGTCTGAGGCCATATTTAAACTCAGGGCAGGGTCACTGACCTTTGTGTCTACATCACTGCTTCTTAGTGAAGAACCGGTCAGCGGCTACCACCCCAAAAGCCAGAACTACTGCAACCCCTAGAGTTGGACCCCCAGTAGAAAGGCATAGTGAGAGACTGGGGAGGGGACTTGTGAGGACACTCAGGTAGGCACTTTAGGTAGACATTTGGGAAAATACTGGGGAGGGGCTTTGCTGCCAGAACATCTCTGTACAAATTCAGTTAGAAAGATAATAGAGAAAGTACCTCAAACCAAAGCTAAGAATTTGCTTCTATTTGGGATCTATGCCTACTATGATGGTAACTAGTGTCTGGAATTCATTTGCATCCAGAAAGGAAAGACATGAGGAAGTTTTTTGTTTTATGTTCTTTTTTTCTTCTAACAAAAAAATTATTTGGACTAGAAAATGAGACCAAGAATTGGCACCTATGAAGAAAACTCAGGGCTGACTGAGTCTGTGACACTCAAGCAAACAAAGTCATTACACAGATAGAAAGAGAATCACTCCAAGACAAAGGTCACTGTGAATGTAGATTTATTGTTCTAAATGATCAGTGTGACTAAGGCCAGGAAGATTCAAGGCACAGGGTCAACAGGGCTTGGGTAGAGCAGGGTTGACACAGCATTGTAGGGAGAAGTAGGTGAAACTGCAGACAGAAGAGTGGTCATTGTTGGCCTTGGGTTCCACATTGCTGATTCTTGGTGTAGGGAGAACCAGGTGATCAGCAGCAGCCCCCAGAGCTCCCGCAGCAGCCCCCAGACTGCTGGCTGTGCCCACTGCCACTGTCACAGCAGTCAGACCTCTGGTGCCGACGTCTGTGGGATCTCCTGTGATGGGAAAAGAGGCAGCAGCCACCCCCGGAGCCAGAGCTGCAGCACCCCCCAGAGCTGGACCCACAGCATCCCCCAGAGCTGCAGCATCCTCCAGAGCTAGAGCCACAGCAGGAAGAGACTGGAGGAGGGCAGGGAGCCTGGGGAGGGCACTTAGGAGGGCACTTAGGGGGGCACTTGGGTGGGCACTTTGGAGGACATTTAGGGGTCTGACACTTGGGAGGACACTTAGAGGGACACTTAGGGGCCTGGCACTGCTGCTGGCTTTGCTGGCAGGACATTTCTGCAGAAGTTCAACCTGAAAGGCAATACAAAAGAAACATCAAACCTAGGCTAAGTATTTATTTCCATTTGGGACCAACGCATGAAGTGAAGATGACTAATGCATAGAATCCATTCTTATCTAAAAAAAAAGACAGACCTAAGGAAGTGTTTCCTCTAGTAAAATGTTTTTGGGTTGAAATATGAAGCCATGGACTGGTCATCAGTAAAGAATATTTAGGCCTCACAGATCCCCTCTTTTTTGGAGCTCAAACCCATAACATCCTTAGGATTCACCCTGTCTTGTCATGCTACTGCCAGATGGTGATTGCCATCTGAACCTCCCACCACCTCATTCTCTGTTTGTCCGTTTTCACCTTTCTCAATCCCAAACCAACAATTGTTTTAATATTCATCAGGAATGACCCAAAGTCTCCCACAAAACACAAATGTTGCCTCATGTCATTTCAAATTAATCTAAAATTTTACATTTTAGCAACAGATCAGTATTATACACACATAGGTATGTATGTATATGTGTGTGTATATATATATATATAGGCAAGTTATAGAGAATCTCTAGTCTCTATACATATACATATACATATACATAATTGTTCTAGATCAAGTTCCTCATGACTGCCTGGGTGCATCCTTAGGCTTCCAAATCTCTGGGACAGACCGCAGCTGCTCACCTTTCCCTTAGACTCCATCCATGCTTAACTTAGACTAACACAAATCCAAAGAAAACAAACCTCTATTTATCACTAACCTAATGTCTCATTCTGCTTATTCTCGGTCTCTCTATTTTTATCTGCCTTGATCCTTTTTTCTTCCCTCCTTCCAGTTCCAATCTCTCTCTCCTCCTTTTTTTGTTCCTCTCAAGTATCCTCCTGAAACGTCTTTTTTTTTTTAAAGGCTTGCCTTGGTTTTTGAAATGCTTACCAGATCACAGATGCTGATCAGCTGGTCCTTGAGGAGGCAGATTGTGTGAGGAGCCAGGGCCAGAGACGCCTTTTATAGGAACTCTTCAGTCTCTTCTGCTGCCATGAGACACAGCTCTAGTGGGAGGAGAAGGCTCTTTCACACCCAAGGCATGTGCCAGGTAATTTCCATATGCCAGGGAATTCTTGACATTCTTTAGCCTCATTCTCTCATGACTCCCAGTTGGCTATCATCATTCTGAATTTGCTTCTCAATGACCAAGTGGTCTGTCTGTCTATCTATTGGTCTCTCTCTTAGGGTCCTTCACATAAACGAGGTCTTTGCCTCATTTGTCTTATTGGGACATGCTCCACCCTGCCTTCCACTGTCTTGGACCTCTACTCTAACCCCAAAGTGGCTTGGGAACCTCCAATGAAGTCAGGATGAGGAGAGAGCCATCATTTTCTAAGAATTCAAAGGTCCTATTCACTGCCCTATCACCACCTATCCCTTCCCTAAATATGCATCTAATTACCTTTGCGGGAGCCTAGCCCTGCATGCCTGTTATTTCATATGTCTAAATCAACTGGACTATTTTTAGGTGGTGTCTACACAATAGTGATCTTTAAGAAGTTAGGCAGTTCCACTATGACCATCTTTCATTGGTGCTCCCTAGGAACACCTAAGCTTGAGTTTCAGAGGAACCTCTGATTCACTCATGATAAATCACAGAATTAAGGGCACCCCCAATGACTACCTAGTTCAATGCATGCCTGAAAAAATTCCCTTTATCTCATATCAGACAAGTGTATTTTCAGGTTCTGCTTTAAGACCTCCAATGGATAGTATCTTCTTTCATTTGTCCAAATCTTTCTGTTTTTATGAATCAACCAGCTCATTATTTCCTACACCACAGCAGTATTTGAACACAATCACATCCTTTCTGAGAGACTGTCTATGAAAGTTTCTTTCCAATTTTCTGTATTCCTTCTGTTCTTGGCTACATTGGTTTTATTTATACAAGAAAATTTTAATTAAAAATAATCAAAATTATCCATTTTACAACATTTTCAACAATACTTTCCCTTTATAATATAATTTAAGGTCTGATACTGCTGAATTTCCTTCCTTTACATCTTTTTTTTTCCCCTGGTTTCTTTGAAATTCCTGACCTTTTGTTCTTCCAAATGAACTTTGTTATAATTTTTTCTAACTCAGTAAGATAATTTTTGAGTAATTTAATTGGGATGGCATTGAATAAATAGATTAGTTAGGTAAAATTGTAATTGTTTATATTATATTAGCTTTACCTACCCATGAACAATAAATATTATTCCAATTATTTAAATCTGACTAAAATATTTTATGTTTATGTTCATGTAGTTCCTGTGTCTGTTTTGGCAGGTATACGGTTGGGTATTTTATAGTCTTTAGTTATTTTAAATGGACTAAAACAATATTGAATAATATTGATGACATATACTATAGTTTTCCTTTTTTTATCTTTTAATTAAATCTATTTTATGTTTAACTTTGAGATCACGATTATTACCCCTGTTTTTTTAAATAATAAATCTTACTCCAGTCTTTTATTTTATCTTTGTATGTATCTTTCATTTTTTTGTGTTTCCTAAAAGCAACATATTATGGAATTCAAATTTTTAATTTGTTACCATTTGGGGTTTTCTTGGCAGAGATACTACAGAGGTTTGCCATTTCCTTCTCCAGATCATTTTGCAGATGAGGAAACTGAGGCAAATAAGGTTAAGCAACTTGCCCAAGGTTACACAGCTAGTAAATATCTGAAGCTGGATTTGAACTCAGGTCTTCTTAACTCCAGACCCTGTGCTCTATCCACTGTACCACCTCGATGCCCAAATGAATGATTGCATAATTCAGTTTCTTCAGTAGAGAACGGAAAAAGAGAAAACCCCCATATAAGACTTACATGATTAAATGAGATTTAATAAAGGATATTCTTTACATAAGACCAAGGCTTAAGGAGAGCTGGAGACAGTGGAGTCAAAAGGGACAGTGCTTCAAAGGAATGTCAGCTCCACCAAAGACTTTCCAATTTTCCCATATTGAAGTCTGATCTCTGATATGTGTTAAAGGTGCTCCCTCATTTTCAGGGGTTCTGGAATGGGGAACAAAGGGATTTGGAATGTTATCTGCTACCTCCTCTTCCAGATCTATACTTTGAGATCTTTGAAATGAAATAACTGGGGAGAATACAAACATTAAAGAATATGGAAGTATTTTCTTATATATTGGAAGGTGGCTAACACGGTAGATATAAAGGATCTTAATTCTGATCTCAATGTCTATGTGCTACTTTGGGCCCAGGAACACTTATCTATGAAATTATAACTTTCTTATTTGGTTTTAGGGGTAAAAGTGAAAGAAAGAGAGATAGGATACAAGATAGTTGTTAATTTATGGGGCCATGAGTCTTCCCAACAAGTTTTTCATCTCAATTACATTGTTAATACTGGGAATGACTTGGGCTGTTCTCACAAGTGAGAATCAACCTCCAGATTGGAGGTGCTATTGCTTCCCTCTTCTTCCTTACTTTGGGGTTCCACATAAGAATTCTAATGTATGAATGATAATTCTGATTCTAAAGGGGAGAATGGAATGCATTTCCAACACATAAATGTCCTAGCCTGGGGAAGAGGGCTTCATTATGAATAACATAGTTATGTATAAATGTGACTAATCATGTTTTATAGCAAGTAATATATAGAGTTATTTACATTCCTTAGAGGAAAGATAGAATTTGCAGTTACAAACAGTCAACTTATCCTTATACATATCATAAAAAGGCATAGAAACCACAACAAATAATGGAAGTCATACCTTGGTGGGCTTTGTAATACATGGGCAAAAGTGACCTTTCAAGATTCATTATGAACTTCTTATTTCCAGAAACATCTTTTTGAATGGAACCCAAGATTGTACAAGCTTTCTTCACTATACTATCTCACTTCTGACTCACGTTGATCTTACTGTCAATTAAAACTGCCAAGTTGTTTGCGTATATACTACTGTCTAGTGTTGAATTCCCTAACTTCAACTTGTCAGGCTGACTTTTGGAACGGAAATGGAAGAATTTACATTTCTCACAATTAAATTTAAGCTTTTTAAGTTCGGCCTATGGTCCTAGCCTGTCAAGATCTTTTTTGCTGTTAAGTTTATCATCTAGCATGTGCTCTTCCTTCCAGATACCATCTATGACTCATCCAGGTCACTAATAATAAGGTTAGACAGCCTGAGGCCAAGCCCAAATCAAAATGTTGATGACTATGCTTCGTGTCCAATTTGTCAATGCCTAATTCCACATAATTGTACTATCAGCTAGTCTGTACTTCTTCATTTCCCTCCTCCCCCATGAATAGCATGATGCACTTTAGCAAATTCTTAGCTAAAACTTGTTTAAGTTCTATCTATAGCATGCCCAGTTCAGTAATACTGTGGAAAAAAGTAAATAGTTAACTTGTTGGTGTTCAGTTGTTTCAGTTGTATTTGACTCTTTGTGACCATCTGGGGTTTTCTTGGCAAAGATACTGGAGTGGTTTGCCATTCCCTTCTCCAGCTCATTTTACAGATGAGGAAACTTAAGTGTTAAGTGTTAAGTGACTTGCCCAGGGTCACGGAGCTGGTTAGTGTCTGAGGCCAGATTTGAACTCAGGAAGATGAGTCTTCCTGACTCCAGGCCTGGCAATCTGTGAACTGTAACACCACCTAACTGCCTTGTTAGATTTAACATGATCTATTCTTGGCAATGCTACCATGCTCTTTCGTGATCACTACTTCTCTTTCTAGATTCTACTTAAAAATCTCTTTAATAATATATTAAAAGATTTTTAGGAGGGATCTGAATCAAACTCACTGGTCTAGTTTAGAGACTCCATTATCTTCTCTTTTTTTTGAAACTTGGGACAGATTCCTCCTTATCCAATTCTGTGGCACTTCTGCTGTTCCTCCTGATCTTTTAAAGGTCACTGACTTGTCTCGGTGTTCACATCTGACAGTTCATTCATTCTCCATGATGGGTCTCATGAGGGACAAGGAACTCAACAAGGGGGCAAGGTGCTGTTATAGTACTGTCCAAAAGCCATTCATCATGTTTGTTTGAGCCATGCAAGCTAAAGCTTTATCTCATTGGCAGAGAAAAGAGAAGCTAAGGACCTTCCTTACCTCTTACTTTATTGAAAAAAGAATTGCATTCAACTTAACTAAAATTTTTTTTTGAGGCCATTTGATATGAGTTCTCTCTTCTCCCTTTCTCTTCATCACAAAACTAGGGACACCTGGTACTGTAAACAGAGCACTGGGCCTGGAGTCAGGAAAATCTAAATTCAAATTCCACCTCAGACACTAATTAGTTGTGTGACCTTGAGCAAGTCACTTAACCTCTGTCTTTTGTTTTTCTTTGAATCCCCAGAGCTTAGCACAGTCTGGCACATGGAAGGTTCTTAATAAATGCATTTCCTCATCTCCCCAGCTACCAGTGCCTTTTCTATAAAACTACCACATTTTAAACTACTATACATACACTGTATATACACATATATAAACATATGTGTGTATGCAAGTTACTTTTTAAATATTAATTTTATTTTTTGTTACATTTGCATTCCAAGCTGTTGTCCTCCCTCCCTTCTAGAAAATTATTATTAACTTTGTACTTATATGTATATATATAAATTATATATATTGTATATGTATATATATGTATATATATTTGTTATCTCCCCAATTAGAATGTAAGCTCATTATGAATAAGGATTGGGTATTTTTTTTTCACTTGTATCCCCAGTGCCTAATGTAGTGCCTTGCACATGGTAGGTGATTAATAAATAATTATTTATTGATTAAACAATTCCTTTTTTTTCAGCCTCCCATCCATCTCAAGCAGTGATACTCTCCCTGCTTTCATCCAGTTCTTTCTCCCAATATAGTGGAACAAAACAATGGGAAACAACAAAAGTTTGCTATTCATTCTTTAGCCTGGCTCAACCAGACAAGCCTTAAAACCAATCTCATACCACAAACCATAGACATTGTGCCATGCAGTCAGACATTTTTATTTTTCTGGATTTTCCTAAAATTTTACAATTTGTTGACATGTGGGTATCCTTGACGTGACTTAATGGGGTTGATAGATAAAGCAAGGCAGAGCCGAGAGGAATTTATCTTCCTAAAACTGTGACTAACTGTGTGTTAATCCAGCCAACTTCCCATCCATAGCCCTCACCACATTACACACACACACACACACACACACACACACACACACACACACACACACA